TATCATGAATGAGATCTTCGAGTCTGTGGTGATGAGGCTCATACGGGAAATTACCCTCTGCCTCTAATTGAAGAACATTGAACATTGAACATTGAAAGATGAGACAACAAGAACATCAACCAACGTCAAAACTTACTTGAATTGCACGATATTCGGATGTCGGAGTGACCGTAGATGTCTGACTTCTGTATCAGCCTTATTGTTCACTTTTTTGAAGGCAATTGTTTCTCCTCTAAATTGACCACGGAACACAACTCCCTGTGCGCCGGATCCTATCCACTCAGGATTGGTAATTGCATCAAACGGTACTTCCCATGGTATTTCTGACTCTGCGGTTGGATTAAAATGATGTTCGAATAACAGTGATTAAAACAGTGCAAATCAAATTTTAGTATAAAAAGACAAAAAGACTGGCCGAATGTTGCACTTTAGTTCAGAGTAAAAAGAATGATGCCTAGAGTCACGAAGATCTCTGCTTGAAACATCCATAATCAGAAGTCTCGGTGAAATGACTTTCGATCGTGAATTGCAGCGATTGGGGCTGCAGCTCCGAATCCCTTCTTTCTTCATCATTATTCTTGTATTTTATCATTGCCCCAATAGTGGTGACTCCTCTATCTTTGACTTTTTATATTCTAACACTGAACACTCGTTTTTTGTAAACAATAACCGACATGTCAATCACTACCTTGGGAGATTTTGACGTTTACAATGAGGAATGGCTGACTCATTCTTCTATCACTTAGTCTTTGGTGCGAGAAGCCGACTATTTCGCCTTGGTAAACAACCTGAGTCACCGAATTTGCCTTCTCATGGCCTTGATCTCATTCTCACCTCGGTTTCCTCTCCCTTCTAAAATATCTCTACTATTCCTCCACTGGCTATTTCCTGTTTTGTCACATTTACTCATTCCGATCTGCCACCTATCTGCATACAAACTTGAGTGCTATAAATCAGCCATCTGGGACGGTTTTCGTAATCGCCAAGCCTCTTATAATTGTTAATTCTCCTCGGAAGTTCCCGAATCTGTTTCCCATTGCACCAACATTTTTCTTTAAGGTACGCATTTTACCCCACGCTTTTCAACTAAAATTCCAGAAAACGAATCTTGAACAGATAAAACACAAGCCCCAAACAGTGGATTACACTCATCAAGTCAGCATATCAAACATCAGAGTAGTTAAAACAAGAGACGAATTAACATGAAGTTGGCTAACTGGTTACTATGATTCAAGTTGTGTAACAATATAAACACTCAACCATGAAACTTCAGTTTCCACAAGCGAACTCAGGTTTCTGCAACCGTTCTGATTTAAAAAGCACTATATTTTTTGATGTTCATTCATTCTTCTGCATCATAAAGTGCGATACTTTCTAAAAGATATAAAGACTCCAAGAGACATCACAATCAAAACCGCAGGCAAAACACGTGGCTGAATGCACCGAACGTCTCCGAGGCTTCTATTATCAAGTTCAGTGGTTAGTTATAAAACTGTTGATTCACATCTTAACTTCAGTTTATACAGTTAGTTCTGAAGGGTGCCGACGGACGTACAGGTTATTAACTTCAAGTTAATTTCTTTGATGAGTCGTTGTATGTTTCGACATCCATCACCAAAATAAAATGTCACTTTCAAGTTTGTTGAAAGATACAGTCCCTGAAGAACTGGTTAAGGGAGTATGTGGCGATAACAACAAAGTTCAATTACAAAATCAGGGTAACGCAGACAAATATGTTAACCACAAGGAAAATCGATGCAATATTATTGCACATTTTACTAAACGTATATTCAGGTGCGGCGAAATGAACCTTAAAAAATATAGTTCACTTCCATCTACTGCTTCAAAAATTACATCTCAAATCAAAAATGGTCAAACTTTCCACCACAGTAACGTTCACTGCATATGACCCAGTATGTACTGGAAAATGACAAGCTGTAGTTAGTTTTCGATTCACTTGAAAATCAAATAATAACATCAAAATTTTGGGAGATGAAATACAGAAAGCGGGCCGGCATATAAATTTGTTGATCAAATCTACCTGAACTGAGCGAATTGGCTTCCTCTGGTTTAGTCCACCAAATCGTAAGCGGCCGAATGCACCCTAGGAGTCGCTCCAACAAAGTCACTTTTTCCGTTCGAGCTGATGCACGAATACTTTCCTTGTTAGGGGTATTGGTCACAGTTTCGGTGAGGGCAGCATCCCCTATATCAGGTTGCAAGTGCCCATCACAAAGCCCAGAGTTCATCACAGCACAACGAGATTGTACGAACATAACTTTTCCCAGAACGGAGGACTGACTGGGAAGCGCTTGTTTTAACTCACTCATGGAGACTTTTTCAAATCTTTTGCTGGGACTGATCACTCCCTGATCAGATGAATCCGGTACTTCTAGACTAATACGATGAGTGGACAGGCGTCTACGATCGGTAAGAGTGGGAGAATCGAGATCCAAGGTTCCATTGAGGCTGGCTACTCCATCCAGACTGTCTGTACGACTGACTCCGTTGGTGACAAAAGTAACCACTGCTGCGTTATCACCGTGAATGAAATTTCGTGGAATTTCCGACTTCGTACTCATTTTAGTTTACTACTGATGCTAAAGCTAGCATTCGCCTCACCACCCCAGCTGCAAATAAATAAATAAATATTTGAACAAAATATGAATAAAATATGCAAAACCCTTCATTTAAATCAGCGGTGATAGAGTAAGGATTTGTGAGGGGGGTGGAAAAACATTGTTCACATTAGTTACCAATTGGACTGGAATTGTCATTAGCGAAATGCTTGTCAAAATCCCCATTCACGTGGACTATTGTTGAATAGTGTGCACTACTGCATATCCATGTATTGCACGTGTTTGAATCCAGAGTGTGTCAAACAAATTACGGCAAAAAATTCTTTACCAAAAACGAAAGAGTTCATGATTTGCTAGTTAGCCAAATAAGGCCAGATTGTCCAAACCTACGCAGATGAATTTTATTGAAGATTCACACCCGGAGCCGTCAGCGAGCGAAAGCCTGACCCGCAAGTTAGCGGTGGATTTTGGAAACTGTAATCCGTTGGCGACCGTATCCAGTTCATTTGATTCTACGTCCCTGAACGAGATAAAACGCCCAAGGTGCCGAACTAACCCGGAATTCCTATCTAGTCGATAACTGCAACCAAAACCAGGACGGTGTGAGTATGCAGTACACCTCTCCGAGGCAGGTTTCAAATCAGGGCTTTTAGCCAACTATCGGCTATTTCGTCCTTTCACTTTAACGAAAAAATACCGCCATGTGAAAGCATTGAGAAAGACTAATCATCATCATCACTGCACAGAGGAAAACAGTACAGTGAACTTCAGTGATAACGTGCCAAGCCCCCAATGCATACAAGGCAAGCAAGAATCTGTACGATGCACAGAGACTGGATCTGTTTTGACGAAGAACGATAGTAAATGAATCTCTATTGTCAACACAAAGCACATAGTCTGACTGTGTTACTACACATTTTCAAGCACTCGGACCTGAGAAGGAGTGATAACAAAAAGACTACTACTATCGTTTCGCCTTCATGTCGTGCAGCGTTTCCGGTTACTCCTTTGCACTCTTCTGGAACCACTATGGAAGATAGCAGACACCTACTCTACCGAGTCGATTGGTGCTTCGTCTCCACGACATCTATTGACCGTTAGATGACTTCTTTCAGTGTTGAGTAGCAACTGTAAACATAGTGTGGTAACGTGAGCGACCGATAGGTACGCGAAGCTTATTGTTTCAGTTTCAGTTCTGACTATCATTAGCCACGCGCTTTTGTGCGCCAGTTTCGGTCACCGTTCCATTTTTTATTACACATCTTAGCGTGATGGATATTGGACGAGGAAAGTCCCATAGTCAAAAGAACCTGCTGTTCGGTGATAAAAACTGGTAACGAGAGCCCCGGAACTTCAAGTGGTGAACCACATAAGGTCCCGCTGGGTTAGGCGTAGCATTAAACCGTGCGACAACAAACCTGCCTACAACCATGGCTGAGTGTCGGTGTCGGGGATCGAACCTCGAATACCGGCGACAGCAACTAGGCTACTGTACTAACATTACTGCCCACTTCCTCACCACTGCTCACAGAAAGCAGAATGGAATGCTGCGAGCGGCGTCGTAGAGAATATATGAATTCCATGCGATACTGAGATTTTTCTCCTTAATTTTTCAGAAACACGAGTGCTTACCTGTAGGCTAACAACCCAATCACTCCATCCCATCTAGACCAGACTACTTAAGCATCGACTACCGAACACTAACAATCGATGGATCACTTATAATGACGAATCCAAAGTTTTATGAAAACAGCAAACAACCGACCGAAAGGTTGAAAAATGTAGGAGACCTTGAGGCTTCTGTGAAACGCCACGTCATGGCCCAAGATGTTCAATTTTGCGTAAGCTACGTGAGATTCTTCACGTGTTTTTCTCCTTTGCTGCACTAACGTCATTCGTCATGCAACTACCTAAGTATGTAAAGCAGCCAACTGCAGCGAATTCCTTATCAATAACTTCCAAAGCAAGGCTAGTTCACACCCAGTTTTACAGCATCATTTTGCACTTAGAAGACACAAAACGTATACCGAAAGGAGTAACAAAACATAAAAGTTTATCACGTACGCTTTGCGCCTCCTCATCATGATCGGGGGTGAGTGTCTAGGGTTGCGGTTAGTCTCCCTTCCCTTGCATCTCGTGAAATGCTTCCATACGACCAATTGTCTCAAATATCCTCTGCTGATGAACCTCTAATCACTGTCTTCACGTGGTGGAGGTGTTTTATCACCAAACTGAGAGGACGAAAAGTCGATATGCGGGGCTATTACTTGGTTGGTGGACCACTGGTAGTTCACCTAGGTAAGTTGGCCAAACACCCTGACTCCAAATCACCCAAGAGGAAGGGCATGAAACACTCACACCTTTTCGGTTGTGGCAGTGGTCACCGGTTTGATTAGGCATTGAGGTGCATTGGGCACCTTGGACGTTTGACGCCGTCCGAAAGGCGTATTATCCGATGAACTGGACACCGGCTCCCAATGGACTGCGGTTTTCATACACCGCCCAGGTGTCTGGCGGGTCAAATTTTGGCTAACCAAAGGCTCCGGTTGTGGATTCCTCAAAAACATTCACCTGCCTTGGTCTGGGCAACCTGGCAGTATTCAGCCCACAAGCCGATCATGGAACGTTTTTCTTTTTCTATAAAGAATATCGTAGCGTGGTTCGCTTGGCACAGTGTGTCTTTAGACAAGCGTAAAATATAATGATAACATGTGCACGTAGACCCACAATCAAACGGTTAGCTGCTCTCTGGACAAGTTCAACTCATGTGATGGGAAAAGACGCCGCTCCACCATACTTCAAACGAGGGTGGGTCGCTTTGGCGTACAGGAGTATGAAGGCCTTTCGCGACAGCGAACCGAACGATCGGTCAATTGCTCTCAGGATCCTCCAGGCAGAAGAAAAGCTTTGTCCGTGTGGCCTCTTGTCTTGAGGGACAATGTGATGATCGACCCCAAGTTCCTCTCACGGTCGCTGCTCCTGAGGACGACATTGTTTAATGTGTAAACCGGTCTGGGGTCAGTGCGACTTATTCTCATGTGTGCACACTTGCCGATGCTGATAGAGAGCACCCACTCAATCCAAATCAGTGCGTAAAAATAACGCGTCTAGTGACGATTGAAGTGGTCTTCGTAGTTTCAGATCATCCGCGTAGACGAGGCATGGTGAATGTAGCCGGCTGTGGAGATAGGTTATGTATATCAGGAACAGAACGGAGCCCAGAACTGAACCTTGAGGAACTCTACGGAGAACTGGATGCCAAGTCGATATTGAATCACGGGTTCTTACCGCAAAAGATCGTCTCTTCCGAAAATCCTCTACGCAAGTGAGTACTGGGTTTGTCACTCCAAAGTTTCTAAAATTCAAACGCAGCCCATCGTGTGGAACATATTTGAAGGCTTTACTGAAGTCAAAATACACAATATCCGTGACTGATTAGCTGGCTTTGACCGCACACCATTCCTCCCTGGCCAGAAGAAGGCTAGATAGGCAGGATATCCTCGGGAAAAAACCATGCTGCTGGTGACACAGTAGTTGGCACTCCGTCAGATGGCGAAGCTACCTGCTAGAGATCAAACGTTTCATCACTTTCAAGAAATGCATGTCAAACTGACGGAATGGTAATTCGCCCTTTACCAATTTTATAAGTGGTGCGCTAATATCGCCCCTGAGGGCGATATTATAAATAGCTTTTTATAACCAGGGGGATATTAGCGCACTCTTTCAATCCTCCGGCAATCGACCATATTTCAGGGAACTATTGAACCGGGCACAGAGAGGGACAGATATCATGAACGTGAGCTCCTTTAACAACTTATGATGCAGTCCACCGATGGCGCTTTAGCGCATAACTTGACATTCAACATCAGAAAACACTACTTCCCAACAATGGTCTACTTTTTTCTTGGAAGACTCGGCACTATTACAGTTAAACAATGCTTTACATAGTTTATTCCACCCTAATGTGGAATACATTATCAGTAAAAATTACCAATTGGATCAGTTCAGTTCAGTTTGCACAGGACACATTTGGCTCTTGCCAACTGAGCCTCCAGTTTGGTAGGTTGTCGGCGGATGGGAGTAGCTTCCAACACGTGTTTTACGTGGTACTGCAGTTTTACGCATGCGTAAAACTTTGCTCGTACAGTAATCACTTTCGAGTATGACAATACACATAGGAATCAGTTTAGTCTCAACAAAAGAGATGGAATTTTAGCGACTTCTGAGAATTCGAGGAGGGTTACTATACAAACATGCAAACAACTACAAAACAACTGACACCGCGAAAACACAGAATTATGATATANTGAAGTGATTCACGGGTTCCAGGCTGTTGCCCAAATGTCCCGGGTCCTTGAAAGGTATCTGTGTTTTCTTTTGGTTTGAATTACCACTAGAACAGAGAGTACTGAAAAGGGATTAGTAGGGTTCCCCGCTCGAGGCGAGAAATAAAATGAAGACTTACGAACTCTTATATAAATTTAAAAAAATTTTTTTTTCTTTTTATTGGGGAAGTGGCGGTCAAGACGAAGTTTAAAGACCGCCTTGCTGGGGGCGCTGACTATCTCTTC